TTCATGCTCTTGAAAAAGGGATGCCTCTTCACTTCTGTTGCGCCTTCCCCTTGACATCCTAGCCGCTGTTTCGCGTCTTTGGTGAGGAGCTGAAACACGCCAAGAGGAATGGTAAGGACGTTATAAAAGCAAGTTTCCACAAAGGTTTTTATCTCCAGTTGGTTTTGAATGCGCCCAGAGGGAAGTACAGAGGAGACCTGTAATTGCTGTTACTTAACGGCCAAAGATAAATGGATTAGGACTGCACTGGTCTACATGCTGGTGGAGCCCTTTGAAAGTTATCTGCTGTAAAGTGTTTACAGTCAAAATAAAATCCTTTGTTTCTGCTCACTTTCTGTGAACACTTTCAGGAAGGTGTGATATTCCTGAATAACACATAGAGGCACATATTCATAAGTGCCATGTACTTTTTCTCATTCTTTTTTTCTTTTTTCCTTGTTACCCTTCCAAGACTAATTTTCCCATGTTGCTTAGGCTGAATGACTTCTTTACTATCAAATTGTATTTCCCTCCACCCATTGCGGTATATTCCTGTACATCACATGACACACTGACATAACCCTTTGTGCTTATGGGCTTATCTCTGCTGAATTCAAGGAGAGTTTTGTCCGTGGGGCCAGCATCAGTAACCATCCTCACTTCAGCCGTGTTTGTTTTCAGACACGGGCAATGCACCACCTCTACCTGCTACAGCAAGTCCTGTCTGTGTCCTCAGTACTTGAAATGGAGCAAAGGACATTAAACTCAGTTTCTGTGATTGTGTCCATGAACACAAACATGGGGGTTCTAGGTCCTGGAAGACCTTGCATGGACAGACTAATTGACCTGCAAGAGAGCAGTGCAAGGAGCAACAACTCTGGCACAAACTAGTCCGTAAGGTAAGGAGGTAAAGAGACAGAACACGTAGCCAAATTTTCACCAAAATGCCTCTTCTTTCAAATCATATGCAGGGAATCAAGTAGGCTAAATCAACACCTTAAGAGATCATATCTGAAGAGTTGAAGAAAGGCAGAGGTCAGCACAGAAATGACTGCAAAAAGACCATCACTGGGGAGAGGGACCTTTCAAAATATACCACTGACTTCAGGTGATCTGCTGAGAACTGAGTGAAGGTTCACAGATTTGGGTTTTTTTTTTAATTTATTTTTCCTCCCATTCATTTCTGAGGACGCCTGCAGGATGCTCTCTTAGATACAGGAGGGAAAATATAACTCCGAACTCACCATAATCTTGTCAGAGATTTCAACCGCCTCCTGAAGAGACGCACAACACGTGCCTCTGTACCACAGAGAACCAGACGTGCGCTGAGAACAG